TTTGATAATCCAGTATCCGACCACTAAGCGTGATCGACTAGCCCACCGGGCCTAAGCCCATGCCATTACAGGATTTTTAAGCCTCCACTTAAGGGCCCCTGGTTACGCGAAGTGGTCTGGAGGGCGAGAGCAGCCCATGTAAATACCCTCGTGGCCCGCACAAATGTTTGCAGCTGTGGGGATTCGAAGCCAGAGTATTAAGGTCAAAGCTCTCTCAGCTGGACATCGTCCCACCACTAGCCCACTTGCGCGGGTTATAAATGACGTCCTCTCTGTTGTTCGCTTTCTTACAATTGTTCCTTTACATTGACTGACTTTACAATTTGTCTCTTGTTCGATATGTGGTTGTTTCCTGATCTGAGTGTGTCACAGCGCGGTTTCCGGTGACATTACAGCACCTCAGGCGGCTCATGATTGATTATCGTGGCTGGTCGCGTTGGAACGGTGGCTCCGTCATGCACGTTCTCCATAATGAGAAACATCAATGGATCTCCAGCATCAAAGCTTTGTCTCTGGTGATGAATAATTGATCACGTTGACAACAACACAACGTCTCGTCAGTAATGGGTGTCGCGTAAGGAGACCAAAAAGAGAAAAAAAGAAGAAGAAAAATCAAAAGTGAAGGAGATGACGAATAAGAAAATAAAAGAGATCAAAGGAGGAGGAAGACTTTGACTGCAAATCCTTTTTTCTTGTTGTAGGGTTTGCACAAAAGAGAATAAATATATGTGACCATCAAATAAATTAATTCGGCGGAAAAGATACAATTGGTTTAATTAATAAACAAAACCAAACTGGTTTGTAATAATGGATCGCTACAGTGGGTATTTACATAATCAGCGGCTGAATGTCTTCTGAGTTTATAAATCTAATTGTGATAATTTTGCTTAGGATAAAACTATGATGTCATCGGTTCACTTCAATCCACCAAATCATAATTTCTCAAAGACGCCGTTTACACAAATTGCAAAACCGTCATCATCTCTATGAAGAGTCGTCTCTTATCGCAAATATATATAATAGATTCTACAGGTTTTACAGATTTCTTGTAGTTCATTCATCAGTTTCTCTCGTTCTTTCATTATCTCTTCTGATTTTTCTTCTCTCTTTTTGAGGACCAGTTCGGTCAATTCCTTTTTTTTGTGTAGACATTCGTTGCCGTTGTTGTTCGATCCTTTCTTCCTCTCGCCCTCTCTCTTTTCCCCTAAATGAAACATCATTTTGAAAAACATCATAATGATTTTTTTTTTAACACTGGTAACATCTTATTAATTATGTAAACCTTTTCTCTCAGTGATTTTAATTTTCTTGCTATCGAGGTAAATTATACCGATCATATAATTTTGTCTATTTAGAAAATAATTACAAGTCGAAATTAGTGTATGGAGAAGTTTTGATTAATAAGCTCATCTAAAATATTTGTAACAACAAAGAAAAATGATGTCAAAAAAATAAAGGAAAAGTTACCAGTGATATGTGGAGATTTCAATGCCTTAGTAGAACTAGATCTCCGAGATTTACCTAATTATGTTGAAAAAGTATTTTATAATATACTCGGGTTGGCCCGCGCTAGGCGCATGATATATTTTTCATCCGATGTATATAATTATATAAGTGAATATCTTCTTTGTATGTATTTATATAACCTTTTGCAAAGTAGTGTATATTATGTTTATTGTTTTAAAGAATGCTAAGGTTTGTGGGGATAATGTATCTTAAATTAATTATGTTAGATTTTGTAATTGTGTCTATATTAATAGATTGCGGCGACTGACATATTATATTGGGTAGATGAAATGTAGGTCATGTTCTTGTTATATTATTTTTTTGATTACTATGAATTCATAATTGGTTGGTTAATTAAAAGTTAATATAATTTGGACTTTCAAGAGTAGATATGTTGTTTTGATGATTATAATTTGTAGGATTGGATTGGACATTACATGATTGAATTTGCTACGGTCATGTTAAGCTGAATACTTACAAATTAATTATAAGTAAGCTTTTCTTTGTTAAAATCCCACAAATTTTGAATTGGTTTGTAAGACCAAATATTGAATTGTATAAAGAAAAAATAGAATATTAGAGGGTTAAAGCATGTCAATAACAAACCATATTGGTAGTTTAAGAGGTAGAGTATGTTAGATTTCTGAAACATATGCGGAAATCTTATTTGGTTTAAATCTTTGATATTTGTTTATATCTATGTTTTAGTGTTTATTTAACATTTTAATGTGTTTTATGACACTATATTATTGTAATTAATATTTTTATTTCCTTTGTTATTTATAATTAAAAGTCATTATATTTGTATGCATTTGACCATTTATCTCTATAATTGTGAAAATGTATTTATGTTTGATTTTATTTTGAATGTATATATATTTTAAATATATTATTTTAACTTGTGTGGATATTTTGATTTAGTTTGTATTATCAATAGTTCCCATTTTTTAAGTTTTATTTTCTAATTAATTATGAGTTGAACCAAACCATTAATTCAATTCGTGAGAATACGGGATTCTGATTTCTTTTCATCGACGATATATCCCGTCTGATTTGATTCATGTTTCAGTTTCTAACTTGGGCTGCAAGTGGGCATCGTATTGTTTGGTTCAATTTTGTTCTTTAAATTATGGTTCTAGTAGGGCTTTTATTAATCTGATTTTAGTCAC